AGACGGCCCTGGCCCCCTCTCTGCCTCCGACACCGAGCCCTCCTCAGAGCCTTCCCCAGACTCCAGGACTGGCCCAGGTTCCTCCCCAACCCTCCTCACTGTCTGAATCTGCTTCCACCTCCACTGGTCTCTGACGGGCCACAACAGGAGGCTTCTCCCGTTCAAAAAATGCCTCGTGAAATTTTGTGCTCCGAATTTCTGGCTCTTTGCCCAGAATTATAATGATATTATCCTCCTGGGGGAATCAGGAGAGAGGAAGCAGGAGATACGACACGGCTCTCCGAAATACTTGACTTATTATCCCTGCGCATCTTGTTATTCCTTTAAAATATACCCCGTTAGTCATCTCCCCATATGGCCTGCTGGAGAGGCAAACTGCACAAAGGATTGGAGATTATTTATCATGTTTATTCATAGCTCATCACCCCATCAGGAGCTCCGGGGGTCCAGCGCCTGGTGTCTTAAACAGGAGAAGAACGGTTGCAGGAATTGGATACAGCCGATCGAGAGAAAAGAAGGACTTGGGGGGGACATGATAGCAGCCTTCCAATACTTGAGGGGCTGCCCCAAAGAAGAGGGGGACAAGCTGTTCTCCAAAGCACCTGGACAAGAAGAAGCAATGGATGGAGATTAATCCAGGAGAGAGGCAACCTGGAATTAGGACAATTAACCAGTGGAACAGCCGTCCACCAGAAGTTGTGGGTGCTTCACCAGGTTTTTAAGAAAAGACTGGACAGTTAACTTGTCTGGAATGGTGTCTCCTGGTTGAGCAGTGGGTTAGACTAGAAGACCTCCGAGGTCCCTTCCAGCTCTGTTCTGATTTGATTGATTTGTCTGAGGGCCAGGCTTCTAGGCGTTCTCTTAAGTGTTTTTGGATTTCGCTTGATCTACAATATTCCGTTTCCCAGTTGCAACGAGGGCTAGGCCTCTCCAAGCATTGTGAAATTAGCAAGTTCTCATCTTATGACCACTCCTTGGTGTTCAGGGAGGCCCTCTGCTAGTCTGCTGCCTGTTTGTCCTACGTAGCACTGATGGTGTTACCTAGCTGGGTCGTGAAATGTCTGCAAGCAGACAACCAAGCTTTTAGAGCACCAGGAGGCTGAAGCAGACCCCAAGTCGGAATTTCTGCCCCCCTCCGACCCCCCACAAAAAGACCCTGAAGGGGGAGACTCTCTGCAGCAACACAAGCGTTCATCGCACCTATCCGTCCCAGGGTGCGTAGTTTGAGGACCCCGGATTTAGTGCAATATATAAAAAAGGCCAATAATTTCTCTGCGGACCAATGAAATTTTCTCACGGACCACCAGTTGGTCTTCACTGGACTAGATGACCTCTGAGGTTACCCTACGACCCTATTATTCTATGTTCTGTGCACTTTTGACACTGGACATCGGCTTCCTGCAAACAGTAGGTGGCAGCTTCATTCCACTTTTGGAGAAAAGAATGAAGGAAACGCATCTAAAATTCACCGAAAATATTGTGTTCGGTGGAGGGGGATGAATGAAAGCCTTATTATTGCCAGCCAGCACGATCTACAAAGGCATATTAGAAGAGAGGGATGGGGGGGGGGAGCCAATACGATCCGGGGTTGTATAAACAGAGGCATAGAATCCAAATCACGCGAAGGATTACTACCGCTGTGTAAAGCCTTAGTAAGGCCACACCTGGAATCCGGCATCCAGATTTGGTCACCACGTTACAAAGAAGAGCGGTGTTTCTCAACCTTGGCAACTTGAAGATGCCTGGACTTCAACTCCCAGAATTCCCCCCAGCCAGCATTCGCTAGGGATTCGAACCGGCCACCTTTCTGATCGACAAGCTCAGCGCTTTAAGCCACTAGGCTAGCTGGACATACCCAATTCCTGCAACCGTCCTTCGTATGTTTTAGCCTCCCGCCCAACAAATGACCTTTGTTGCTCGTATCTCTCCGCACTCCATCAAGATGCGGAGACTCTAACGATGCACCCCGTGTGCCCCCAGCTGAAAATGATAAAGCGACGGGCGACGGGATAAGCTGGCCAGGGCGCGCGTAATGGAACAAACGTGTGTGGCTTCCACCTGCCCCCTTCCTTATCGCTGGAGCGAGCGTTTCTCCTGAACGCCTTGTGCAGGTGAGTCACCTGTTCGAAAGCAGCCCACTTGGCTAGGATTCCTGTTGGCCTCCATCTGCTGGCTGAGCACGCCTCTGCTTTAGCAACGGAGTGATTCAGCTTCCGTAAAAGCCACACAGCCGACCCAGAGAATGGGATGTTATCTTAAACTGCATAGGAAGAACGGTTGCAGGAACTGGGTATGTTTAGTTTAATGACAAGAAGGACCAGGGGAGACAGGATAGCAGTCTCTCAATATCTCAGGGGCTGCCACAAAGAAGAGGGAGTCAAACTATTCTCCAAGGCACCTGCGTGTAGAACAAGAAGCAATGGGTGGAAATTAATCAAGGAGAGAAGCAACTTAGAACCGAGAAATTTCCTGACAGTGAGAACAATTAATCAGTGGAACAGAAGTTGCCTCCAGAAGTTGTGAATGCCCCAACACTGGAAGTCTTTAAGAAGATGTTGGATAGCCATTTGTCTGGAACGGTATAAGGTTTCCTGCCTAGGCAGGGGGTTGGACTAGAAGATCTCCAAGGTCCCTTCCAGCTCTGCTATTGTATTTGTATTATGGGAGAACAGAGTTTTTGTTCCTTTAATGCAGGGGTCTTCCTTCATTAAACTTGGCAACTTGAAGAGCTGTGGACTTCAACTCCCAGAATTCCAGCTGGGTGAGGAATTCTGGGAGTTGAACTCCACAACTCTTAAAAGTTCCCAAGTTTGGAAACTCCTGTTTTAATGGCAACCATTGATAGAAACCTTTGGCGTTCCCATTGCAATTGGGGGTTCTCAGTTACCAAAGGAAATGTAATGAACCCATACAGAAAGTCCTTGGCTTACGACCACAATTGAAGCCTTTTTGTTGCTAAGCGAGACATTTCTTTGTCTGAAACGGTGTACGGCTTCCTGCCTAGGCAGGGGGTTGGACTAGAAGACCTCCAAGGTCCCTTCCAACTCTGCTATTATATTGTATTGTATTACTGGGTCTGTAGGAAAAAGTGGACTTTTGGGCTTGGAATATTCTGTGTGGTCCATGGTGCTCTCCGAGCCTGTTTTGTTTTCTTGCAGATGGCTTTTTATATTTTTCGCAGATGTCTCATTAACCAACTAGGTAACATCATCAGTACTAAAAGGGAGTGAGGTTTGTGGAGAGGAAGGGGAGGAGGAGGAGGACTGTAGGGGTCCTTGGTGCTCTCTGAGCTTGGTGGTTTTCTTGCAGACGTTTCATGACCCAACTAGGTAACATCATCAGTACTAGAAGGGAATGAGGTTTGTGGACTGGAGGAGGAGGGGGGGGGAATCCTGAGTGGTCTCTGAGCTGGGTTGTTTTCTTGCAGATGTTTCATGACCCAAACAGATAACACAATGAGTGCTAGAAGCGAGAGGAGGTGGTCCTTGGGTCTTCTCTGAGGTTAGTGGTATTCTTGCAGACATTTCATGACCCAACTAAGTAACATCATCAGTGCTGGAAGGGAGGGGGGGATTGAAGATTAGAGGAGGAGAGGAGGACTGTGGGGTCAATTTCCCCCAGTGCCTGTTATTTATTTTTTTCTTGGCCAGAAACCGAAGGTCAACAACGCTAAGGAAGACGAAGGAAGAAAGGAGAAAGGAGAGGAAGAGGAAGAAAGAAGGAGGAGGAGGAGGAGGAAGGAAGAAGAATATAGCAACAGCAATAGCAGTTAGACTTATATACCGCTTCATAGGGCTCTCAGCCCTCTCTAAGCGGTTTACAGAGTCAGCATATCGCCCCCC